AGCGCAATTCACACACAACTATATATAGATTTAACAAAAACATTTTAAGTTCGACAAAGATTTAATATAAACATAAAGTATTTCTTATTGCCATGACAATATGATAACAACTATTACTTTGTTGGTTGCTGCTTCATTAAAGTAAATAAGAATTTTATAAACAGTAAAAAAAGTTTATTCTGTGAATAAAAATAATTTCATTACTTTGACAAATCGTAGATTTTGTCCCAATAAAATTTAATAAAAAGGTACATTAGGTGGTACATTTTGTTATAACCATTGCAATTTTAAATTTTAGTTAAGTAATATTATTATAATAATCGCTTACAAAATTAGTTTTAAACTTAAGGAATTACTGGAATCAGATTTAGAAACTAACGACTTGTATTTTAAAATTCTTCAATAAAACAAGAATACAAAGAACTGTCAATAAATATTTCAAATAATTGAGAATCCTTAATCGACCAATAATAGCGTCTTTAAAAGGCAATGTTTGCATAAACCATTATTGCTTTCCGTAAGTTTAATTATAATATAAATGAAAGCCTATCGAATAGAATTCCATCAAACCTTTTAGTGCCATTATAATCCTCTTCATTAGGCATTCATTAGTTGCTGTAACCATTTAGTTTTTTCGCGCACCTAAAATATGTTTACCGTAACTAATACTAATAATAAAACTTTTGTTACTATAAAAAAGGTGTTGTAATTTGAATTTCGAATACAATTTGTCAATATAAGAGACCGGATATTTATGCAACTAATAGGATTGTATAAAAGTTGTTGAATATTGTTTTTTTATTCTTTAGTTGTTCGAGGTTATTTGACTAGCATTGGCTTTTAAATAAACCCATAAAAATTATAACATCACCTTCACGCGAAACAGCAAAACCTTAAAATCTTCCCCTTAAAGTGATTGTTTTACAACAATTTGAAAGCATTTACTAACGGTATGGAAAATGCATAAAATCCGGTCTCTAGGCGTTAATTATTAACTAAAGTTAAACGTGGGAATCAATATCTACACAAAAGACTAATTGGGATAAATTTGATTCAGCTGTGATTTTTAATTATAAAAGTACAACGCTTCGGTCATGTAATCAATTTTTACATTGAGAAAAAAAAACAGTAAATTAAGAGCTTATAAAACTTTTTTAATCATCGATTTAACAATGTCGAGTTTATGTAGGTGTTATAAAAACACGTAATTTATGGGTTTTTTTATTTTATAATTATTCTTGTTATTTTTTTATTTATTTCGTAGTTATTTTTTGTAATCTATATGGTTATAAAGAAAGATGTTAAATGTTTAATATGAAATATTTATTTTTTTCTTTAGAAGATTTATATATATATATATATATACGTTATAAATGACAATTTAGGTATATTTTAATTATTATAAGTGAAAATGATTATTTATTATTTTTGGTTGTTTCACTGTTAGTCTAGAATGGGGTTTTTGGGAAGCCACCATAACATAAGTTTAGTTCTGCACTAATGCAAGAATTTAAAAAAATCATGCATTTTGAATATTAGAGCTTCACGGAAGATAGCTTCATGGAGGTTAGGATTTCGGATGTTTTATTTAAAACATCCCTTTGTATATTTGAAATATCTTTTGACACCTTAATATTTTTTAAAAATACAATTGTACATACATAAAATATTTATAAAAAAATCAACTTACTGAGATATTACACTTCACGGTGGATAGGTTTTTAAATCGCAAATTAATGAACTTAAACTTTTGAATTATAACAGCAACACTCTCATCTGCATATAAACTGACCTTCAGGAATTACATGCATCTATAATGTCGTAAACACCTACATAAATGGTTATAAAACTTATTTCTTTTAATTTTTAATAATATTTTATATTTGATTCAATTGCTTTGGATGTGTTTAATTTACTTAGTGAACTGATATTTTTAGTATAAAGTTCGGTCCCTCCGCGATTTTTATTTTTGAGAAAAATTTCTTGAAATTGAATGTATTTTTTCTGATTAAAATGTGCCAAACTTACAGCGTATGAACTCAACAATCAATTTGTCTGTGAAAGGTTAGTATCGATCATGTAAGAGTCACTTAAAAATAACATTAAATAAACAAATACAAATAAATTTTAATTTCTTAAATATTATAATAATAGTATGTATAATATTATAATATTTATATATAAATATTTATTTAAAATTCATTTGTAATGTTTAAAGTTTACTTGTACTAGTAATCTAGTAATCAATCTTTAAACAATACAATTTTAAGATAATAAATATAAAGGGCAATATTTAAATTATACTTTATTTTTAATAAAACATACGATTTTTATTTATCAGGGTCTATAAATTGATAAATAGGTTTATAATTATTATAAATAAACCCATTTATCACTTTATAGATATTATCCTTTGAACTGTAATTAGATTTAAAATCTAATAAGATCTAATAGACCATGGTCGATAATTTTTGAAACCAAAAAAAATAACAGTAGGATGAAACCCATTGGAAAAGGAGGGGAATATAATAAAAATTAAAGGAAAAATAAATTACGGGCGATCTGAGTTCGGGAAGTGGGTGGGGGGGTTTTAAGGGTAAAAAATGGTTTATCTCGATTTCCGGCAAAACTACAAGTCCTATGGAAAAAAGTTAAATGGCAAAGTTGTAGGTAATAAAAGGATCTACAACTTTTGTAATTACAATTTTTTTACATAACCTCAAAATTTATGTGAAAAATTCAAAAAACCAAGTTTTTGGTTTTTTATTTTTATCTATTTCAAAAAAAAAAAAATTTTCCACGAAATTTTGTGAAAACTTACCCTTTTATGTCCCAAATACACTTTAATTTATTTGATTTGACATATTTATTATTTCGCCTTATTTTGACTTAATATCAAAAAAGCACCCTAATTTTCAATCGAAAATTCTCGCGTCAAAATATCAGCTTTTTTCAAAAAGTCGGTGTGCCTTTTATTCGTTGAAATCTCTACTTTCTGATGGTGTAAATTACTATGGTAAATGTTCTCAGAAAATACAAAAAATATTATAATGAATAACGAAAAAAACTCGAATTCGAAAATTTATTTTAATCATTATGTACAATTTCATCAAAAAAATGTGATTGTTGCAATTTTTTTTAGTTAAAAAGTTTATTTATTAAATTCTAATAACATTTATGTCAGAAAATCTCATAAAATATAAAAATACATGTAAATCATACTATTGAATTTAGATACTTCATTCTGATTACGTTATTCATTATAATATTTTTTGTATTTTCTGAGAATATTTACCATAGTAATGTATATTTTTTTTACACCATCAGAAAGTAGAGAGTTCATCGAAGCACACCGACTTTTTGAAAAAAGCTGATATTTTGACGCGAGAATTTTCGATTGAAAATTAGGGTGCTTTTTTGATATTAAGTCAAAATAAGGCGAAATAATAAATATTTCAAATCAAATAAATTACAGTGTATTTGGGACATAAAAAGGTAAGTTTTCACCAAATTTCGTGGAAAAAAATTTATTTTTGAAAAAGATAAAAATAAAAAACCAAAAACTTGGTTTTTTGAATTTTTCACATAAATTTTGAGGTTATGTAAAAAAATTGCAATTACAAAAGTTGTAGATCTTTTTATTACCTACAACTTTAACATTTAACTTTTTTCCATAGGACTTGTAGTTTTGCCGGAAATCGAGATAAACCATTTTTTACCCTTAAACCCCCCCCCTCCCACTTCCCGAACTCAGATCGCCCGTAATTTATTTTTCCTTTAATTTTTATTATATTCCCCACCTTTTTCAATGGGTTTCATCCTACTGTTATTTTTTTCCTCTTTTTACCATTTTTAAAGGCTTCTGCACCTGTTATGAAAAATATAATACTCCTTAAAGATTTCTCTATTAGTATTAGGACAGCCAACTAGTTCATAGACAGTATGAACTCGGTTTTGTCAAAAAATCTTGTAAAACTTATTAGACACATACTATTATCTCCTAAAAAATTAATATGCTGCCACCATAAAATGATGTAATGGATATAATCAAAACCTTAAATACTATAAACCCGCTTTATATCGAGTATTAAATGTTTTTTAGCCAGTATAACTTTTTTGCTATGTGTATTTGAAAATTCTTATTAATTTTATGCAGTGGCTAATATATTAGTAATATATTAGTATACTTTTTACAAACTCTCTTACAAATTCTCTTACAAATTCTCTTTATTAGCAATTTAGATACTTTAATAAAATATGTCTTATAGACGAATTTATGCTTTTTTCATAAGAATTATTATACTTACTTGCTGATAGGATAAAGGTCGTTATATAAAAAGTTCAACTTTTATAAATTTTATATTTTTATTATAAAAAACAGGTACAAGAAATAATTAAAACATAAATAAACCTAATTAGGTATATAATAGTAAATCAAAATTTTGCATCACGAAACTTACAAAGAATGCCAAGGGGGAAAATAAAACAATCGTAAAAATATTCCTAATTACAAAAACCCCACAGCGTGTCACTGCAATTTTTAAAAATTATTATTTGTAAAATGTATTCTTTTAATTTTTAGTAAAATCGTTTGTTTTTGTTTTGGAGGCTATTTTTTAATAATTTTTAGTATTGTTTTTTTTTAAATCCCTTGATTAAAATCCTGATTTAAATCGTTAATCAACTAATTAAATTAAAATATCAACCTTATAAATTTCTGTTAAAACAAAGCTATAAGTACTAAACTACCTATCTTCAAACTATTACCCAATAAATGGTAAAAAGGCCGTAGAATACATTATTATAGGTATTTGATATATGTAGGTGAGTACAGGGTGAACCAAGAAAGGGGACCCATATAATCTCAAAAACTGCTGTCCCAAAAAATGTGTAGAGAACAAACAGTAGTACAACAGTATTAAAGATTAAACGTAATAAGATAACGATATTTTTGCGGTTATCTTGAGTAGATCTTGAAATTTCATATAAATAGTAAGCAAATTAAAACTAGAATGAATAGGTGATTTCACCTTAATTTATTGAAGTTAGTTGAATATCTTATTTTAAAATGAAATTTTGTATCCTCGTTGCCTGTTTTGCAGTGGCAATTTCAGCAAATACACAACAAGAATGGGACCTTTTTAAAGTAAGTAACAGAAAATATACTAAAAACAAAATAATTAAGTGTGCATGATTATATTATTTCAGGAAAGCCACAAAAAAGCCTACAGATCACTTATCGAAGAACGCCTTCGTTACCAAATTTTCTCCGACAATTTGGACAAAATCAACAACCACAATGCTAAATTTGCCAAAGGTGAGACCACCTACACAATGGGAGTAAATCAATTCGCCGATATGACCGAAGAAGAATTCATGGACATGTTCAAGCATTCTCTCAAGCCTCTCGAAGTCACCAAAACACACGAAAAAACCGAGGAAACACCTTTGGAAAAGGACTGGAGAATCGAAGGAGCAGTAACACCTGTTAAGGATCAGAAGACCTGTGGATCTTGCTGGGCTTTCAGTGCAGTAAGTATATTTTTTAAAATGATTTTAATAACTTTATAGTTATTTATGGTACTAGTGTGTTATGTTGAAAATAAGTCACGCGAGAAAGATTTATAAATATAAATATAAATATAAATTCTCAAGTGACATAACACACGAGTGGCATACAATGTTTTATCCAACAAGTGGAAGGAATCGTTTTTTATGAGATAATAATTAATAGGCTTTGTGATCAAATCAAAGCTACTTGTGTCTCAGTACCCTATAAATATCAGAATGACTTGACAGTAACTTTTTTACATTTTGGTCAAAGTGGGTTGTTTGTTTGTTTGCCACGGGCATGATACATTGTTAACAAATGTTTAAATAAATTTTGACACTTGTCAGTTTTCCCTGCAGAAAAGGGAAGCTTTTTTAAGGAAAAAACGTATAGAAAAAGGAGGAAACCGATGAAAATTACGTTCCTGAGGATTTCCTTACGGCAGTGGAAGAAGCAGCGATGCAGATTTTGCCAGAAAAGTCCCAAGATGCTTACGACAAGGAGTTCAAAATGTTTCAGTCTTGGATGAATTCACGGAAGATAAAAGGTATCGATGAAAATGTTCTTTTGGTTTATTTTTTATATTTGCAAAAAAATTAGCCCCATCGTCGCTTCGGACCAAATACTCGATGCTTCGCTCGACTATTCACCTTATAAAAAAAATCGACATTTCAAAATATGACAAACTAACGAGCTTTTTGAAAAGCAAATCACAGGGATACAAACCAAAGAAGTCCAAGACATTAGAACGACCTGAAATAGAGAAGTTTTTGAATGAAGCTCCCGACGACAAGTACCTGTTGATAAAAGTGGCTTTGATAATGGGGATTAGTCTTTGAGACCAAAGAATACTGGTTCTAGCCGCTTTTTGTTTTTTTACAAAAACGGGAGGTGTACCAGCCAGAGTGTGGGAATAAATACGTTCAAGAATTTTAATGTTTTTGAAATTTGAGGAACCAGCGCTCTGCACCGGTCAGTGCCTGAGAAGGTCTTTGGCGACTCTTTTGGCCAATGCAGGGGCTAACATGACTACTTTGAAGCGTCACGAAGGATGGAAGTCCTCGACGGTAGCATAAGGATACCTAGAAGAATCGGTGCATAACAAAATACAAATTGCAGAAAAAATACAAGGTTCTAATGCGTCGGCGTCTTCCAGCACTATCAGCAGATGTACCGATGTCTGTTTTCAATGAACCAACGAATTTTACAATTACTTCAAAACCGAATAAACCGTTAGCGTTTTTCTTTAATTTCAATAACAATGTGAATTCTGTTTGTAATAGTAATAAATAAATAGAACTACTTTAAATATGAACGTGAGTTATAATCCATAACTCACTAGTGAGTTATGGATTATAACACACTATTGTGTTATTTGATAGTTTACTTTTCTAAAATGACATTAACAGTCATAACTGTCATGTGTTGGATAAACATATTTTTTTTTCCATCAATATTGATATTTTTTAGACTGGAGCTTTGGAAGGGCAATACCAAATCAAGAACAACAAAACAGTTTCCCTGTCCGAACAAAATTTGATCGACTGCACTCAACGTTACGCAAACGAGGGTTGCAGAGGAGGTTATATGGAAAATTCCTTCAGCTACGTAAGAGATTTCGGTATAATGACCGAAGACGCTTACCCATACGAAAACAGACAAAAGAAATGCAGGTACAACGAATCCGCCTCGGTTCTTAAAGCATCAGGGCATGTAGGTATCGCCAAAAACCGTGAGGAAGATCTTATGAACGCTGTAGGAACTGTTGGTCCCATTTCTGTAACAATCGATGCTTCCCTCTTCATGTCGTTCTATAGTTCTGGGATATACAACGATTTTGTCTGTTCGTCCAAGGCGCTGAATCATGGTGTTTTAGCTGTCGGTTATGGAAATGAAAAGGGAACCGATTACTGGATCGTCAAGAACTCCTGGGGAGCTAGATGGGGAGAAAAGGGATACATTCGTATGAGGCGCGGCAAGAACATGTGCGGTATTGCCACTAGGGCCAGTTACCCAACGTTGTTAATCTGATTTAGTATTATTTATATTTTGTCTAATAAAATTTAAATTATTTGTTGTTTTCTTATCTTTTTCAAAAAAGATTCCGAATACGAATTGATCCAGGCTCTTGGAACTGTGGGTCCAATCTCTGTTGCGGTCCATGCCTCACCAAGTCTTCAATTCTACGGAACAAAAACTTGTGCGGCATTGCCTCTATGGCAAGCTACCCAAAATTATAAATCTTTAATATATTAAAGATTTATAATTTAAAAAATATGACGACTGTTAAGAAAATATATAATTGAAAGTAAACATTGTTTTTTTATGTAGAGACCAAAGTCTTATTTAAAAATTGTTACCATCGCTTGTTAAAAAGTTTTAAGTGGAATTTTAGAAATAGGTGATTACACATTTTTCTGCGAAACTATTAAAATTAGATAGTTGATGATAACATTTTTATTTATATAACTTAGATCATTAATATACACGGGTAAATATATTGAGATGTCCCCCACCTTAAGTTATTTAAAAATACAATTGTACATACATAAAAATTTATAAAAAAAATCTACTTACTAAGATGTTACACTTCACGGTGGATAGGTTTTTAAATAGCAAATTAATGAACTTAAACTTTTGAATTATAAAACAGCAACTCTCTCATCTGCATAGGTTTTTGATTACTTATTCAACTTTTTGTATATCTTATATTAATTAAAACATTAAAATTAAGTATGTTAATTGTTTTTAAATTACAATGGCAAACATATCCGCAGGGTGGCCTTCTTAGATTACAAGTATTTCAAATGATATATCAATTAATATTATAAGCCAAATAATTAATCTTATTATACTACGTAAAGTGTGGGCCACCTTGAATAAAATAAAACGTTTTTTAACCACCCAGCGCTATTTAAAATCTTTATTTTGTTCATTTGTTATCAAGAAAGATAAATTGTGGGTATAGAATTACAGAGTTAAAAAAATAGATTTTTGCGCATATATTTTAATTGTATGGGCAGTGGCGTAACTAAGCAAGTCTGCGCCCTCCCGCGAAATTTTGATTTTTTTTTTTTAATTATGAGGTACAAGGTTTGTTAATTGGAATACATTGGGAAAAATATTTAAAAAAATAAGGTTTCCATAACTTACAAAACTTAGAAAATTGATTTTGTTTTACTGTAGCTTTAAAAAATCAAAAAATCCTTTCAATCTTATATTCAGAATATATGACATTAAAAAAAAACAGAAATAAATATTTAAACTATAACTTGTCGTTCAGCTCACGTTTTTTCTTCTTCAATTATTACGACATAAAACGCATTATAAACATGCGTGGAACCTATAAGTATAATTTTAATAACTTAAACAAAACATAAAAGTTGATTTGCAATTAGTCTTGCTAGAACAAGTATTTGTTACGCAGACCATGTAAACTCCTGAAACTTTGTTACCTCATAGCAACATTTTTCAGCCTATATGTTCAACTAATGACCTTTTTCCGTTCTAAATCTATGCGTTAGTTACAAGGTTTTTTAGGTACACTTTAGACCATTGACATAGACACGGTGGTCAAAACTAAAGTATAGGACGAACAAAAATGCCAACCGAAAGTGATAGCATAATCTGATTATAGACTCTTTTGGTAACACAAAAATGTATTTATCAAAATCCCAGCTGATCCTTTATTAAAGTTTTGCATATTTCTTAGTATTTTAAAAAAAATTTTGCCATTTCGATAAAATACTCTAGTACCATTATCAAATGTTTTCAAAAATTTGGCAGATACATGACTAAAATATGGATAAATTACATTATAAATACAAAATAATGTAAAATACAGTTTGCAATATCTTATTTATTGTTTTAAGGTACCTAATACAAAACTAATAAATAACTAAAGAATCTTTAAAGCAAAATCGATTACTGCTTACCTTAAATTTTCAGTAAAACTTTTTCTTGGGTTTTACATGGAATTGTTTTTAACATGGAAACAGTATTTTTAAATTCTTCAGTCTCTGTACAAACATGCTTCTTACATCTAGCGATATCCCCTAGAAAGGAAGAGCATATCAAAACTTTAGTTCGTTCGTCCGTCCTCTTCCCTTAATAATTTTTTATGCCCTTTATATCTTGCCATTTTGCAGATAAAGCACATACATTTTTGGCTGCCGCGAAATTCTCTAGCAATTTCTAAATTTTGAAAATTTGGCAATTGTGGCTATGCAAAAATACCGTTTTTACCATATTGAAGTAGGTAATTTTGAATCACTTAAGTTCGTTTGAAAAAGCCTGCAGTAATTTTTATATTTTCTCAAAAACCCTAAACTCTGAATTTTTCGATTACCAAAAACAATTTTGTCTCCACAGCCAGCACATACCTTCTTTCGATTTTCTTCATGGCTTAACTTGAATTTCGGTTTAATTTTCATTTTAAAATCCTATTTTTAACTTTTTTGTTATAAAAAATATTTAAGATATAAATCTTCGTACTTTTGTTATGTTTTGTTTTTGGTAAAAAATAATAGGTGACTCAATAAATTAATACTGGGGTGTAAAGTAATTTAAATGATACAAAGTTTATTATTTTGCTTAATTTTATTAAAATTGTACAGGTACTTTTAGTACAATAATTGCAAAAAATATATAGAAATAGAAAAACAAAAAAGTTTGCAAAACTTTAAAATAGGATCAGCTGGGATTTTGATAAACACATGGCATTTTTGTTCGTCCTATACTTAAGTTTTGACCACCGTGTAGAGTGAATAAACAAAAATTATTTACTTAACAATATGTACTATTACTACCCCCAAGCAGCATTTTAAGTAAAAGAGTAGAGCTTTGAGGAAATATTACTTAATTTAAGTAAATATTTTGTTAAATTAACCTTTCAGTTTTATTACTGTTATTTTTACCTATTTTAATAACCCTTAAGTTTCAACACTTTAAAGTATTATGAGGGACGTAATTTTTACGAAAGAAAATTACTTATAAGTGTATTTCACGTAAAGGGAAATTTAACGGTAATTTTAACGTCAAAATTTTTACTTAGTGGTAAATGTTACTCATAAGTCATAATTTTACGATATTACGACCACTTCATAACCGTAAATAATTCCTATTCGCCTGGTATTTTTTAGGGTTTTTAGTGGTAATAAATACTATTAAAATTGACTAAACAAGGAAAAATAGGCTTAAAGTGAAAAATAAAACATTTTTAAAAGATTTTATAAAATTTTTGTACTTTTTAAGTTTTGTTGAATTTTTACCCAAGCAATAATTAATAAGATGTATCGTGCCTATTTTTATCAATAAAATAATGTCCGTTTGAGTTTTAATGAAAAATATTATTAATTTTGACAATTTAAGTTATATTTTTTAATTTTACTCTAGGGTGGCCTTTATTACTTTGTAAGTACCATTTCGTAAAATATAAATTAAAAGAATAAAGAAATTAAGAATGTTAATGTTTTAGAAAGAGAGGAATTATAGCGTTATTTTTACGTAAATTTGTGGTATTTATATTGTTTTTATTACGTTATTCCCTTAGTAGATCAACAAGGTTATTATGTAGGTAAAATAACGAAATAAACCATTCCCCAAATTTGGTAATTTTTTGTATCTATACCGTTATAAAACCGTTTTGGTTATCCGTAAAAAATACTTTAAAGTTGACTTAGTAGTAAATTTGTAGTTTTTTAAACTTAAAATGCTGGTTGGGCCATCACTACAAAAACAAATTTTAAAGAGGATGTCAGAAAGTGAACTCAAGAACAAGGAAACAGTTTTGTATTTTTTATTAAGTTAGGTACAAACACGTAGGTATGGTATACCATGGTATATATACACATCTAATTTTAAACTGGCACTGTGTGGTAAACGGAGCTCATCACTCAAGTAAGATATGTAATTTGCGGATAATACGAAATGAAGCGATACCCTTATATGTCGGTTATTTCTAGCATATTCTACATAGAAATTGGCTTTGAAATTAATGCGCAGGTGGGGTACCAACGTGTACTAAAAGTAAATGGAGTTTGATGTTTTGTAGGCACCATCCCGTGCAGGGTGCTCACAAGTGATTTACTATGGTATATATATACGAGGTGTGTTCAGAAAATATCGGGGATTGTTAAATTTCGCTGGTTCGGAGGGTCCGGTTGTCATAAAATTTTCTTTATTATGTTGGTATACATGCCCCCGAAGTATGATAAAAACTTTAGCTGTTTTCATGGTTTACTTTGTCTGTGGCAGCCGCTAAGGTTAGACGTGTTTTATGAGCTCGGCGATTTTTCGTTCGTTAAAAAAATGCATCAAAGAATTTGTATCCAATTTTGCTTAAAAAAATGAAATAAATTCTGTGAAAAAACAAAGGCCTATAGTGAGTCTGCTATAAGTAAAACAAGAGTTTACAAGTGGTATAAGAGTTTTCAAGATGGCCGTGAAGACGTTGAAGATGTCGAACACCCCGAACGCACAAGCACATTAACAACCGATAAAAACATGAAAAAAGTGGAAGAAATGGTTATAAACCATCAGAGAAGTCGCTGATGATGTTGGTATGTCGATTGGCTCATCCCATGAAATTTTTTCGAATGTTTTGGGTATGAAACGCGTGGCAGCAAAATTTTTTCTAAAATTGTTAAATTTTAAACAACATTTTTGGCCAAAAACAATACTGTAATGATGCACCATCCTCCATATTCGCCAGACATGCCTCTGTCTGACTTTTTCCTATTCCAAAAATAAAGAGAACCTTAAAGGGCCGTCGTTTTGCAAGCATAGATGACATTAAAAGCGCATCGCTGAAAGAACTAAAGGCTATCCCAAAGATCGAGTTTTAGAAGTGTTTAGAGTATTGGAAGAAGAGCTGGCACATGTGCATAATATCCAATGGGGACTATTTTGAAGGCGACAACATTAATGTAGACGAATAAATAAATATTTGTTTCAAAAAACGAACATTCCCGATATTTTCTTAACACACCTCGTACTATATATATGAACTAGGAAGTCGCATCAACAGTGCTGTGAATATGCGAGAGGAAATCGCAGAGATCTTGATGAGATAAAAGGTTTTTTTTTGGAATGTTAAACGATTGTAGAGATGAAAAAGGATAAATCCTATTTAGAT